TACTGTATAATTTGAAGGATTTTTCCCGTATTTATTTTTTACAGGTGTTTTACTATATTTTGAATTTTACACTTCATTGCATTGTGTTTTAGAGTTAACAGAAATGTCCGTAAAATTAATGGATTTATTTTTACAGTGTACAACTCACACAACAAACAACTACACTGTGATTTTAGTATCCCTGAGACATTATAAATTATTATTTTAAAGTAACAGAATTTTATGATTTTTGGTTTCGTTTTAGGTAACTACAATAACTCACAAAAGAAAAAAGATGATGCGAAAACATGCAAGAAATAATGCTTGAGAAATGCATTATTATTAATAGACCACTATATCATTTACTCATATTTTGAATTTTACTTTTATTTATATATTTTCAGTTTTTTGTTTAGTTTTTTTTTTGTTATGTGCTTTCATAATTTTTATTCGTTTTTTTATATTTCTATTTAGCTTTATTTTTGTCAGTTTGAGTAATTTTAGTACTTTAACTTATTTTAGTTAGTCATCAAAACAATATTTAATTTCCATTTAAGATTTAAAAAATTTTAAATGAGAAAAATTTTTTTTGTATTAATTAGGGGTGTAATGATCCATCGATATGGACCGATACATCAATTAAATGTCTAACGATACGATGTATCGATGCCACACGTAAAATATCGATTTCTGTAGTATAAATAGGCACCTTATTTTGACACTGTTATGGCAAGCCGTTTTGACTTTTATTCATTCTCAGGATATGAATTCTTGATATCAACAATTAAATTTTTACTAGTTAAAATGTTAATTCTTGATATCAGGAATTGAATTGATATCAACAATGACATCATCACTTGCAGAAATCGAATTCTTGATATAAGCAATTAAATTTCAACTAGTAAAACGTATTATTCTTGATATCAAGAATTTATATCCTGGGAATGGCAATAGACAAGCCGTTTTGACTTTTATTCATATCAGGAATTACATTTCAACTAGTAAAAATTATAATTCTTGATATCTGCAATTGTATTTTCACTAGTTAAATGTCACCATAGGCTGCCATTCAAAATCAATTGTTGATATCAAGAATTGATTTCTTACTAGTTGAAATTTCAATTTCACATATCAGAAATACAATTCTTACTTTATTTTTGATATCAGTAATCACGTGGTTACTAGTACAGATGTTTATTCTTGAAATCAACAATAAAATTGCTACTAGTTAAAATGTTCATTTTTAATATCAATATTTCGATTGTCACTAGTGGCAATGTTAATTTCTGATATCATGAATGTGATTGTTATAGTAACAAAAGTCATTTTAGATATCAGAAATTACACTCCCAATTGTTGATATCAGAAATACATTTTCAGATATTAGAAATAACAAATGTAACATTCTGAAATATAATTACAGATATCAAGAATTAACATTTCAACTAGTAACAACTGAATTCTTAATATCAAGAATTCACTTTTTACTAGTAAGGTAATTATAGATATCAACAAAGGCAGTTGATATCTGAAATTGCCCTTGCAACTAGTGAAAATAGAATTACTGATATCTTCAATAATATTTTAACTAGTAAAAATACTTTTACAGATATCTAGAAATGCCATTTTACAGGAAAGAATAGCTATGGTAATGAGTTCATGAATATTAATGAGATCTGATTTCCCCACAATCCTCGTTTTAGCGTCAGCATTGGCCAAAGATGGCGGAAGAACATCCACTCACAGAAACGGCTCCTCCTTTATTTATTCGTCTAGTCAATGAAACATAAAAATAATATTATGCCTGATTTTTTTTTTTAATTGTTTAAAAAAGTAGTTTCATCCAATTTCTTTTTTATTGGCCACCCGGTCCTTCGGATAATTAAATGAAAAAATTAACAAGACATTAATTTAGCTATCAATTATTTTATCATTGTCATGAACGTAAAAAAAATAACCATGTCGCTTTTTCATGTTTATTTTTGGTTTCATTAGACTTTCTTCTAATGCATAAAAAAATACAACCAAAATGAAAAATAAAACCTGTTTGTAAGTATTAGCTTGTGTACATTTACTACAAAATTAGGTAAAAACAGATAATGCGTCAAACAAAGTTTGAAAGTTTTGCTGGATTTTTTTTTTTTATCATCGTTCCATTTACATCATGGCTATAATACAGAATGAGTCATTATGCTGCGTGCCCAAATTTGTGCTGGCATTTCTCCTTGATTAAAGGCGGGTGCGTTATAATGCAATGCTATTGTTTTTTTACTGTAAATTTTGCTGGATTATTATGTACACCGACACATTCTCATATGATGAGCCGAACTACTGTATTTACACTCTCTGCCTAATTCGGCTCAGATTTTCTTGACCAATGGGATCAAATGGATGCATAAAATATGACATTATACACACTGTAATATTCTAATAACTTGCATTATTTTTTATATAATAGACGAATGGACGAGCTCACAGAGACTGTAACTTCACATATCAGTTTCTGTGAGGATATGTGCATCCCCACCAGGTCATTCTTATCATTCAATAATGATAAACCGTGGTTTACTGGGAAACTCATGACAAAGAGGATGCTTATAGAAGTGTGGATAAAATCTTGTACAACCAGGCCAGAAACAGACTGACAAAAGAGATCAGAGTGGCTAAAAAAGCCTACTCTGAAAAGCTGAAAAAACAGTTTTCAGCCAACGACCCGGCATCAGTATGGACTGGTCTGAGGAACATCAGTAAGTACAAGACACCACCCCCACAGTCTGTGGAGAATCAACTATTGGCTGACGATCTGAATGTGTTCTACTGCCGATTTGAAAAGCCCAGTTTCTCACCTCACACCCCCTCTCATATATTTAAGTTCAACATATTTTATAACATATTTAATTATAATTATAACATATTTAATTTTACATTTAATATTTGTAATTCATTTTATTTCAGCTTTATTTTAATTACTGACAACAATTTTAATATTTTTAGTTTTAGTTAACAATAACAACACTGGATGAGAATGGTGTAGTTAACCTAAAAAAAAAAGGAACCACTGTGTGCCCTAAAATCAGCTGCTGAAAAACCAACAGGTCTGAAGTTTAAGTGGGTGGAAGTGTGTGTGAGGGTGTCCCACCCAAGAAGCTACAATTAGCAAACAGGTATTAACACGGCATTTTATGTACCGCACAGAAAGCGCATTCTAGGGTGCATTAACGGGTGTATGTTAACAAGGAAAAGTGTGTGACCATTTAAGGCTGATTTTGTAAGAGGAGTCTGCTAGGCACCTTTCTGTCTCTCTCTCATACACCGTGTTCTCAGGAGCTGGCGCTCGACCAGCTGAACAGCGTATCTGTGCCAAAACAGCTTCAAGAGTCCAAAATGAAGAAAATATTAGGAGAACAGACCCTGCATGTTATTTTTACCCGCAAAGAGACTACAGGGCTGACCCCAGAAAGCCAATGTGTGACATCATATGTGTGTTAGACCAGGTAAGACATTATACAATAAGTCATGGCTTCCAATGACAGACATATTCATGCTCGGAGTTCATCATACAATAAAGGGAACACAAATGCTTGTAGCTATCCAAGCACAATTCCACGCACTATTAGATTCAGAAATGTATTACAATGCAATTCATAATGCAATCCATGTACGCTGCATTCTCAGTGTGGCCACAAGAGGCGCTACAGCAGACATTAGCATAAACCTTTTCTTCTTCTATGATCAATTTTCACTTTTCATTCTATACAAAAGAGAGGATGTAGCATATGAAAAAAACTTGATTTTATATTCACAATCGTATTTTTATTTTATTTCTTTAATTTGTATGCTCTTTTTTAAACATTGTTTTTTTTTTAATTATCAAATGTTTAATTATCTAACACACACACAAAAACTTGGCTTCAGCTGCCTCCAGCCATATATAGGCACAACAGCTACTGTAACTGTGTGTATCAGAGAGAGAGAAAGAGAGAGGGAGAGGGAGAGGGAGAGAGAGAGCGAGAGAGAAAATGGATTTATTTATTTTTTTGGAAACTTTTGGAAAAATTCAGGAATTTTTGGAAACATTTGAAAAGTTATATTCAAAATAGACTAGTTGATGAATTGCCTGACCGAGAAGTTGGTCTTGAGGAAGACATGAATAATTAAACTAGTCTAGAGTTTATCTGACCTCAAACGGATGCATTGCTTCCAGGATTTAATTATCTATTTTTCTTATTTAAAATGTGATTTTTTTAAAGAGTTTTTGTTTTTTTTTAATTGTAGGGCTGCACAATTTTGAGCATTTAATAAAGATAGTGTAATAATAATCTGATTCTGTTACAATACCAATATTTATGTCTTTTCTTTCTTCATTTTCAAACGTTAAACCTTTAAACATTAAACATCAAGTTTTTATTTTGGTGGAGGAAATCCTTCAAGTTTCTCTTTTTTTGGCAGTTTTATAAACATTGCTCATTACAAAGCTGGTGAAACAGGTGGTGCATGTTACGTTCCTAAATGCATGTTACAAGCGAACCAAACTTCCAAAAGCCAAAAAGCTCTAGTGTGAAAGTGCCAAGAGCAAGAAAGTCAAGTCAAAATGGCAAATTGCTGAGATTGCAACTTAACTAAGAGGTTAATCTGAAAGCACACTATATCCTTCTGAGACAGATTAAAACGCAGTCCCTGGCATTAATCCCATGAAACCCATTAAACACATCGACATGTACGTCACAGAGAGCAGAGATCACGGGTTCGACATCTACAGCTAAAAAAGGGTCTTTCATCCAAAAATGGAAATTGTGTCATCATTTATTCACAGTCAAGTCATTTCAAACCTGTATGGCTCTCTTCTGCAGAACACCAAAGAGGATAAGTTAAAGAATGTTGTTTGTCCACACAATGGATGGACTTCGGACCACTGAAGAATCAAGTCATACAGGTTTGGAATGACACAAGGGTGAGCAAATAATTATTTTCCCTTTAATTGCCACCATAAGAAGTTTTTCAAGTGCTCCACACATCCTCACCTATTTCCCTGGTTCCATCTCTCCATACTGTCTCCTTTACCCTTGGACGATGGCGTCTCCCTCCCACTCTCTTGGTCCAGTGAAGAAGACCCCAGTCCAGGTTGTGGTGTCCGCCTGCCATCCACCGGACCTCTCTGGATCCTCCCTTGACCCCTCAGCTCGGCCTCAGAGCTCCTCCTCATGGCTTGGAGCTGCGCTAGAGGCACTATGTCACAGTCTTGAGGCCTGTGCCAGACCGTCTGCTGACTTGTGCAGTTGTAGTAGTAGAACCGATTGTTATTGCTGTCAAAAAGCTCCCACCACTGGTTGCCGTCCGACTGACGGACCGGGACGCCGGGCGGCAGTTCCCACCCGCACTCGCCGGTCAGCAGGTTGACGTACATGCGCTCCCTCGAGCGCGGCTCCACGATCTCCACCCAGTCAGACCTAGAGAGAGAGGACACATGGCTAATGTAGTCAGGATATGGGTGTAATAGTGCAATCTGTAAAGAAAATCAAGCAAGTGGTTTTGTTTGCAGCTTGTTTATAACGAAAATGCAGTGTAATAGAAAATCCCAGCTTGTGATATAAACAAAATTTTAACAAAAGCAAATGTAAAATGAGAGTGGAGGTTCAGCTCAGGTCAGCAGAAGAAAATGTAAGAGTATATTCAGAGATATTCAGAAGATAGGCCTGCCTGCAACATCTAATCCATGTGTTTTAGTTCAACAGATTTACCCTTTTACAGATGTAGACCTGTGATTGAGGGACTGTGGAGGAAGGAGCCTGTTATGTGCTGTTGGTTTTATCATTTTTATTTGAAGTTCAGAAATGTATTTCCATGGCTGCGCTTCACACTGCCACTTTTCTCTCTGACTCATTGACTCGGCTGTTCAACATTGCTTACGATGCATGAGGGTCCACTACTGGGGGAACATTTGCAATGGGTTCACTGTAAAAAATGATCATGATTTTAACAGTAAAAGACTGTAAAAATGCTAAGGTAAAAACCTGGCAACTGGTTAACAGTAGGTTTCTGTATGGTGAGTAACTGTAATAGATCTAACCTTTCATTTAATGTAATTTTACAATAAAATACTTTTAAATTTACAATTTTTGGAAGTGAAAAAGAAGTCATTGTATAATTCACAGTGAAAAATTGTAAACTGACATGCCCAGAATTCCCTGCACGACACTCCACATTTGATGCATTTTTATTAAAATAAATTACACAGTATAAAATTACTTATAAAATTAGTTAGTATAAAATTACACAAACAAATTGTACTATCCCTTTAAATCATTAACCATTCATATAAATCCTATTTAGACTAAGGCAAGAGAGCACAAATAAGAGCATGATTCTCTGTGACTCTTTACTCTAACAGCTGAGGAGAGCTACAGCTGGCCCGCATACTTCCATACAGCCTTCACATAAGGAACAGGAGTGTGCAGGTGTGAGCCAAAAACCTTTCAACTTACAGTGACTTACCATGGTTCAAACTCAACACACACTCATGCATATGATGAACCTACAGCATCAATCACTTATCTCGCGGGATTTGTCATCAACACTGGAGATGTTCAGACATACATACAAACAGACTCCCACAGTCTGTTTTTTGGAAAATGTAGTGAAACCGCTTCCCCGAATGTGAGGTCGGATGGGTTTTTAGAGCCAGAACTGTTTAGGGGCGACCGGGCACATGGCCCAGAGACAAGAGCATGGCCTCGTGGGTAAGATAGGGAATCTGGCTCTCTGCCTCTTCAGCACTGCTCTAATCTTCCCTCACTAAGAGTTACAACAAAGGATCTGAGGCTTGAGATTAACAAACCTATCTTTCTCTGCTACAGATGGCCAACTGCACACAGAACGCACAAGAAACAGATATCAGCTCTGAGACACGTTAAACTGTTACAGGAATTACATGGCTCAGAGAAACATCTAGAAAGCACCTGTTCAGTTCATGCCAAAATTAAAAACCTGAATCGCACCTGTTGCATTCTTTCATTTTTGTCTGATTTTTAAATATTTTCTTCACATGCTGGAAAACAAACAATTTATCTATTCAGATTTATTATAGGAAAAAATCTTCCTAAATATTAAATAATTTCTTTGAACTAAATAAAACCAGTTAATAGGGATGTAACGGTATGAAAATTTCTTATCACGATTATAGTTACCAAAATGATCACGGTTATCAGTATTATCACGGTATTGTTCACGTGCTGGAAATGTTCAAAAAGTACTGACACACAAATCATTTCAGCAAGTTTTACATTTAAAATCAACAAACAACAAATACAATGAGTTTTTGTTTGCATAACTAAAACAATAACATTGCTAATGATGTCCGGATTTTAAATGACTGACGCGGCGAGTATAAACCAGGCTCTACACTCGAAGCGCTGTGCAGCTCAAACGAGTCGCGCGGTTTCGTTATGCTTTCAGTTTCATTTGCCGTTTGATGTTTCTCACATGCAACAGAAATGCAGTGCTTATGAGGTAAACAATGCGGTGGTCGCGCCAGTGCGACCGCACACAAAATTTAGTCGCACTGGCAGAAAAAATTTTCGCAAAATGCGCCCATTTGGTCGCACACTGGAGCTCTGTGCACTGTGCAGTACAGTATTTATTTATCCTCAGTTGTTCAAATCACGGTAATCGAATACGGTTATAGTGATAATTAAAATATGAAACGGTAATACTAACCGTGGGGTATTTTATCACGATTTATCGTCAAATCGGTAATCGTTACATCCCTACCAGTTAATTTAGATGATACCAAATAAAGCTTATGGTTAACTGCAAAATATTTTTACAAACTTTTTTTTTTTTTTGCAATTTTGTTCCCCCATCACATGCATGTACAACAAAATGACAATAACCATTGAGCTAACTAATAGCTCTTAAAAAGGAAATCACTTTACATTTTAAATCACTGAGGTTCTGTCCAATTTTGCTCTTAAAATATAAACAGACATGTGCAAATTTGTAGTGTGTTTGCATACACAGCAAAACTAGGGAAAGGAACCTGAGCCATTTAACCAATAACCCACTACTGTTTAAGGCATTTACATGATCTTATACAGCAAATTATTAAACATACAAAGTGTAAAAGGTGTTAGCAAAATTTCAGTAAAAAATTCAGTGACTACAAAAAGTTATATTGTCCATAGGGAAGCAATGTATGAAGTAAAGCTTTCTGATGGTCAACATGGCGAATTCACATGAAAAACCTGAATTCAAACTAAATCTGCATCTTTAGCCCTTATGAGAAATTCCCAATCATGCAGATTCCTACTGAAATGACTGGAAATGCCCACAAAAATTCACCAAGCGACAGTAAAACTATGACCGCATATGTAAATGCTCTCATTATTATATTAACAGTCCAGTCCTTATACAGTACTTCATATTGTGTCAACACATCAATCCAAATAAGTACAGCAACCCGAACTGTTCCAGCATGCTTTGACAATTCAGCGTTCCATATGCACCGAAACACCAAACAGCATCAGACTGTACCTGTAGGAACTACGTCACACTTCACCTTGTGCTGAAGTCATGAAGTCAATGTTCTGAATCCAAATCCACAACCGACTAGACCGGCTGAAAGCTGGGACAATCACTCTGCATGTGTGCAGCTTCCTCTTCTGACTCAAGGAGGCTACATGAGAAGAAGCATGTGTGTGTGTGATATCTACCTCCACTGTGAGGGTCTTTCCAGGACAGTGAGTCGTGAGCCCTACCCTATCCCAGCATACACAGTAAGGGCCATCTGCTGTGTTTGGGGGTCAGCAGTGAGCTCATAGCGGCCCTGTAAACCTGACCACAAGCCCCTGACCCCCACACTCACATGACCAGAAGGACAAGAATAGAAACCCTTTGTGCTAAAGGGCACGTTTTGGGAGAAGAGAAAAGGAGTCTGTGAGATGATGAGACACAGAAAAATATAAAAAAGTTGTTGTGATCTGTGTGACTAACAGTGCATTCAAGTCATGCTGGGAAGACCGTATTTATGAGTTGAAAGCACATGAGCGGCACCACAAAGTCTTGAGTGGGAAACACTGCACTTTGTTTAAGCCTATAGTTTCAGAATTGGATTCAAACGATTGTATTGCACAATTACGATAGATCATATGACGATTAAATTTACTCCACCTTCATAAACTGAATAAAAACATTAAAAAAAAAAAAATGCTAAATCACCATCTTGCTCTGACCAAAATAACGTGACGCCCTGATATCGTAATTACGACTTGAATGCACCATAAGTGCCCTTCTCCATGTGTTTAGACACCATGCACAGCTCAGATAGTGATGGGAGAAGCATTTTACGTTTTTCGAATCTTGCATCTCAAATCTTTTCAAAAAGCATCGCAAAATGATTCATTGTTTTGAAACGCTCAAAATGCTCACCTGCTGGTCCAAATGACATAAATGCAATGCAAACAGCCTAAGTATGCACAAAAACATGTTTTATAAACCAACAGCTAATATTTTATTGAAAGTTTAATCTATTGCATGCAATTAACAAATCTTATACTATTAAATATTAAGTGTATAATGTGTGTTATTGCATTAAATTGTAGGGCTTGTTTTGTTCGTTTTATGGAGAGCTTGGTTTATCGGGTCAATAAGAGACTACTAACTACATGTTTTTGTTTTTATTATACAAATGTATCATTAAAACTGCATACAATTGTATAATTCATGCATTTAGAGATCGCCCCCCTAGTGGAAAACCATTACAATTTCGAAACAGTTATGACGTAACAAAGCATTGTTTACTGAAACAAATGAGTCGCAAAGGTTTCGAAGCTTCACGAAGCAGTGTTTTGAAAGCGCTCATTACTAAGTGCAGCATGTTATCATCGATCATTCTGAAGTCACTATGAAATACTGGCATTTTATCAAATAAACCAGATGCAGTTTCATCATTCATGTTATAAAATGTTGAAATCACTTTATTAGAATTGAGAGGCATAAGATTTGTTAAAATAAATTGTGGATGTATTATGTCTGATTAGTGCGTGTTTATTTGAGTGGGTTTGGGCTACTTGTAGTTCATGCACATGTTTACAGGTAAATTTAATAATCACAGAAAATATGTGGAGGGTTCTGAAAAGTTCTGGCCAACAGAAATCTTAAAGTCGCATGATGAAAACAGAGCCGTATTGTTTGAGAAATACACCAGTACCCACTGACTAGATAAAGACTGTATTGAGCTGGAAAAAAACACTCAGTATAAACTTTCACATGCACTTTTGTATCTGTGTGTGCTTCAAAGAAAAATATGCTTGTCCTTTTGGAGACACTGCCACAAAACAGCCTGGAAATATCCCAGACTTTGTTTTCTTTGCTTGCCTTTTGTGAGAAGGGGTCAGAGTGTCATTAATGAACATTTAACTTAATGTTCAGTGTTAAAAACAGTGTTAAATGC